AGATTAGAGCAGAAATAAAAGACATAGAGACCAAAAAAACAATACAGAAAATCAATGAAACCAAGAGCTGGTTCTTTGAAAGGATAAACAAGATTGACAAACCTCTAGCCAGACTCACCAAGAACCAAAGAGAGAGGACCCAAATAAACAAAATGAGAAACGATAGAGGCAAAATAACAACAGGCCCCATAGAAATACAAATGATTGTTAAAAAATACTATGGACAGCTCTACTCCAACAACTAGACAACATGGAGGAAATGGACAAATTCCTAGAAAAATACAACATTCCAAAACTCAATCAGGAAGAATCTAAAAATCTCAACAGGCCAATAACTATGGAAGAAATTGAAGCAGTCATCAAAAAGCTCCCAGCAAACAAAAGCCCAGGACCAGACCGCTTCACAGGGGAGTTTTACCAAACATTCAAGGAAGAACTAAAACCTATCCTCCTCAGACTACTACAAAAAATTCAAGAGGAAGGAACACTTCCAAGCTCATTCTATGAAGCCAGCATCACCCTAATACCAAAACCAGGTAAAGACAACACAATGAAAGAGAATTACAGGCCAATATCCCTCATGAACATAGATGCCAAAATCCTCAACAAAATCTTAGCAAATCGGATCCAGCAGTACATCAGAAAGATCATACACCATGACCAAGTAGGATTTATTCCAGGGATGCAAGGATGGTACAATATCCGCAAATCAATAAACGTGATACATCACATAAACAAATTGAAAGAAAAAAACCACATGGTCATATCAATTGATGCAGAAAAAGCATTTGACAAAATTCAACACACATTTTTGATAAAAACTCTCAGTAAGGCGGGAGTAGAAGGATCATACCTCAACATAATAAAAGCCATATATGACAGGCCCACAGCCAACATCATACTCAATGGACAAAAACTAACACCATTTCCCCTAAGAACAGGAACAAGACAGGGATGCCCCCTCTCACCACTCCTGTTCAACATAGTACTGGAAGTGTTAGCCATTGCAATTCGGCAAGAAGAAGAAATAAAAGGCATCCAAATTGGAAAAGAGGAAGTAAAACTGTCCTTATTTGCAGACGACATGATATTATACATACAAAACTCTAGAGACTCCATCAAAAAGCTACTAGACTTAATACATGAATTTGGCAATGTAGAAGGATACAAAATTAACCCCAAGAAATCTGAGGCATTTCTATACACCAATAGTGAACTTTCAGAAAGAGAGATTATAAAAACAATCCCGTTTACCATCGCACCAAAAAAATTAAGCTACCTAGGAATAAACTTAACTAAAGAGGTAAAAGACCTCTACTCAGAAAACTACAGGACGTTGAAAAAAGAGATAGAGGAAGACATAAACAGATGGAAGAACATACCGTGTTCATGGATTGGTAGAATCAACATCATTAAAATGTCCTTACTACCCAAAGCAATCTATAAATTCAACACACTTCCCATTAAAATACCAACGGCAGACTTCAGAGATCTAGAACGAACTCTCCAAAAATTCATGTGGAATAAAAAAAGACCCCGAATAGCTGCAGCAATCCTGAAAAAGAACAAAGTAGGTGGGATCTCAATACCAGATATCAAGTTGTATTACAAAGCCACTGTTCTCAAAACTGCCTGGTACTGGCACAAGAATAGGCATATTGATCAATGGAATAGAATAGAGAGCCCAGATATCGGCCCGAACCAATATGCTCAATTAATATTTGACAAAGGAGGCAAGAACATACAATGGAGCCAAGATAGTCTCTTCAATAAATGGTGTTGGGAAAATTGGACAGATATATGCAAGAAAATGAAACTAGAACACCAACTTACACCATACACAAAAATAAACTCAAAATGGATAAAGGACTTAAATGTACGACAGGAAACCATAAAAATTTTAGAAGAATCCAAAGGCAACAAAATCTCAGACATATGCCGAAGCAATTTCTTCACTGATACAGCTCCTAGGGCACTTGAAACTAAAGAAAAAATGAACAAATGGGACTACATCAAAATAAAAAGCTTCTGCACAGCAAAAGAAACCATCAACAAAACAACGAGAAAACCCACTGTGTGGGAAAACATATTTGCCAATGTCATATCTGATAAGGGCCTAATCTCCAAAATTTATAGGGAACTCATACACCTTAACAAAAGGAAGATAAACAATCCAATCAAAAAATGGGCAAAGGACCTAAATAGACACCTTTCAAAAGAGGACATTCAGAAAGCCAAGAGACATATGAAAACATGCTCAAAGTCACTAATCATCCGAGAGATTCAAATCAAAACAACAATGAGGTACCATCTCACACCTGTCAGACTGGCTATCATCAACAAATCAACAAACAACAAGTGCTGGAGAGGATGTGGAGAAAAAGGAACACTTGTGCACTGCTGGTGGGAATGCAGACTGGTGCAGCCACTATGGAAGACAGTATGGAGTTTCCTTAAAAAACTGAAAATGGAACTCCCATTTGACCCTGTGATCCCACTTCTGGGAATATATCCCAAGAAACCAGAAACACCAATCAGAAAGGATATATGCACCCCTATGTTCATAGCAGCACAATTCACCATAGCTAAGATCTGGAAACAGCCTAAGTGCCCATCAGTAGATGAATGGATTAGAAAACTGTGGTATATCTACACGATGGAATACTATGCTGCTCTAAAAAGGAAGGAACTCTTACCATTTGCAACGTCATGGATGGAACTGGAGAGCATTATGCTAAGTGAAATAAGCCAGTCAATGAAGGAAAAATACCACATGATCTCACTCATTCATGGATAATAGAGACCATTATAAACTTTTGAACAATAATAGATACAGAGGCAGAGCTGCCTCAAACAGATTGTCAAAGTGCAGCGGGAAGGCCGGGGAGGGTTGGGGGGCAGGAGGTAGGGGGGTAAGAGATCAACTAAAGGACTTGTATGCATGCATATAAGCATAACCAATGGACATAAGACACTGGGGGATAGGGGAGACTATGGGACTGTCTAGGGCTGGGGGATAAAATGGACACATATGTAATACCCTTTGTAATACTTTAAGCAATAAAAATAAATAAATAAATAAAAATAAATAAAAATAAAATGCCTATACTGTATATTTGTTAAAAAAAAAAAAATTGACTGGCTTAGAAATAACAGAGTTTGCCCTGGCCAGTAAGGCTCAGTTGGTTGGAGTATCAGCCCATGCATAGAAGTGTCATAGGTTCAATTCCCTGTCAGGGCACATACCCAGGTTGCAGGTTTGGTCCCCAGATGGATCGATGTTTCTCTCTCTCTCTCCCTCTCCCTTCCTCTCTCTAAAATCAGTAAAAATATATCCTCAGGTGAGGACTAAAGAAACAAAAAAGGCAATAACAAAGGTTGTATTTTATTTGAGCAAATACAATATAGTATAACAAAGCAGTTATTTTTCTCCTTTTATTCATCATTTTCCATCCCTGCTGGAATTATTTGTGTGTAAAGATAATAGTCCTGAAATAAATATCTTAAATCTCATTATGTTAATTATCACATGGCCAAATGAGTTTTTGAAGAACAAAGTGTTAAAATCGTACTTATGAGAAAATGATTTATATAGAAAAAAGCTACACATAAAGCATAAAGATTAAGATATACCAAGCTTAAGTAATTCAGAATCAGGTCTGTGTCTTTAGGATGACCTTAGAAATGAAGGGGTACATTTCTGAGAATCTTGGTCTACTACGATGAAACAATGTCAGGCTAGCTGGCTGGCAACAGTTCCGCTTGTCTCAAACATGTCCAAATTGCTTAATTACTTTTCACTGCAATCTAGAAAAACACAGTGCTGACTCCACAAGTCCTCACTATATATTTTAAAGGTGTACTTTAGGCACACAGGAAGCTGCATGTACTGGACACAAGAAGAAAACGGAAAAGGGATGGAATATGTCTTGTTTTGGGCAAGCGTAGTGCACAAACACATTTCAACACAGAGAAGTTCACTTCTTTTATTTCCCCATTTCAAATGTTTTAACATTATGAACTACATAATGACAAGGTGGTATAACCCCATGATCCAGGATCAGTAATTTCTATATTCAAAAGTCTTGATTCTAATTCTGAAACTTTTGGAATGAACCCCCCCCCCCCCCCTGCCCCGCCCCAAATGCAGCTCTGGATTCTATGAACCTATGTTGTCAAGATGTAGATATCCATGCAGCTTCCAATTTACTGCTTGCTGTGTTCAGCGCATTTGTAGGCAGTATCTATTGGAGGCTGAGTGGAGAGTTATAAAATCAAGCTATTTTTATAGCAAGAGCTTTGGTTTCAGGGACAAATTGAATGAGCAAGAATTCAGTTCCAGTGCACCTTTGACAGCTCAGCTGAAGCTGTTACCACCTTCCTGAGCAATGTATGGCCTCACCATCTCTGGATGGCAACATTGTCAGTTGCATCAACAGCTTTCTTCCAGAACCCATTTTATTCGATATTGATGGCCATGCCTCACAGAAGCCTGGGACCATCCCAGCCCCAGGAGTTGAATCTTCACTGGAAATCCAGTGCTTTTAATTCTATTCTCCTTACCAGTGACTGGTTATGATGAAAATCTAGCTAGTAAGGACTCAGAGGGTCCTCTGTGCAAGTTGTCCTTGCTTTTCAAATAGGACAAAAGGAAGAGATGCTGCCTGTCTCCTCCCTGAAACTGCGGCAGCAACATTAGATCAGGGGACCCAGCCTGAACAGAGAGCAGCAGGGGGAAACATCCGGTCATGATGCCATTATGTCACTATATTGAGCAGCCTACGATTTCCTACCTCTGTATTTATTTGATGAGATAATAACATTTTATTTACTTATTTATATTTTTTTTGTTTAATCCTCACTGGAGGATATTTTTTTCCCCTTTGATTCTTAGAGAGTGCAAGGGAAGGAGGGTGGGAAGGGGGAGAGAAACATCGATGTGAGAGACACATAGATTGGTTGCCTCCTACACGCAGGATCAAACCTGCAACCCAGGTATGTGCCCTTGATTGAAAATCAAACCTGTGACCCTTCAGTCTGCAGTCCAATGCTCTAACCACATAGCAACACCGGCCAGGGCTAAAATTTTATTTTTAAAGCATTATGGAGATGAGGGGACATTTATTTTCGGCCCCAAGTAATCAGATGCAATCCTCTTCCTCTGAAATAACTATTTTAGAGTGAAGCACACATTCTTTTTTACACCAAACTAATTCTTGTGTGAGTACTGACTTGACCTCCCCCCTCTCCTAAATTCAAGCACCTTGGAGTGTGTGCTCTGGATTTCGTCTAGAGGACCTTCCTCCCCAGCACTATTACATCAAGGTCTGGTTCAAAATCTACCTCCTACAGAAATATTCTTATAAAATCCTTGCCTACATCTTTCTCTAATTCTAGCACATAGCATTTACTGCTTGTCTGCTGACCCCTGAGTCTTCTCTGTGTCTGCCATTAGGCACACATTTGATTTAGTGACTAACTGAACGAATGACTGACTGATTGACTGAGTACAAAGCACCATTTTTCTTCACCTGAAACTTGGGGTTTTCCTTACTCTTCTTCCTTGTCTTCTTTCCTCATCTAACTTCTCTATAAGACAAAAATTGAGATAAATTTAGAGCTCAGACTCTGAAAGAAGGATTCGTATTTCTAAAGAAAGCTCCAATGGTATGCCCTGCCTTCTGGGAGTTACAAATAAGTGACAGAATTATGATGGGGGAGTAGTAGTTAGATGCTATATAAATGACCTCCTGCTGCTGTACCTCCCCACATGCATTGGCCAGTTTTTTTATTGAAACTAGGGGTGGGATGGCAGCATCCTCAACAAGGCAGAAGTTATAGTAGAAAATATAGCAGAGTCTAGCACAGAGTAAGCCTTCAACAAAGGTCTTAAGAGTGAATGAGAGAAGACATAGGCAAAGAACAGGGCATGGTTAGGGCTTTGGGCTTATACCTTGAAGCTCTTTATTATAAACATAGAATGAAATGTGGATACCAGCAATAATACTGCTGTCTCAATGTAATGAACTTCATCTAAATGTGCTAACATAAAAGTATTTGACCTAATGTAGACTTCAAGCTATTTTGAAATGAAAAATTAAATCTTGGGTTGTTTTTACTTTAAAACCCCTATAGTTGTTACCTAAAACTCAAAATAGAAGTCTATCAGCAGATTTCCAGACCATGTGCAGAGAGGCCTACTCCACCACACAAGCTGAACTTGAACAGTGGCTCTTCTGTGTAGCAGCTCTGGGGCCATCCTTCTGATGAGATGGCAGAAAAAGCATTTGCAGAAATCAGACCCAGTGTGGAAATCAGCTCGAGCACCCTTGAAGGTCTATAAATATAGTTCTAACTCTAACTTCTACCCCATTCCAAGTTATTAACAATTTTTTGTAACTTTCATTAGGTAACATTAAATCGACACTGGAGTTTCTGCAAGATCTTTTCTATTACACAATAGAGTAAAAACTGTAGGAAACGTTCAGATAGTTAAATGACCACTAAACACTACATGTGTATTCAACATGGTTCTATTAAGAACGTCCTTCAACTATGGCATTCAAGGACAGTAACACAGTATTTCCCTTACAAAGCAACTGATTATAAAAATCTGCAAATGCCATAAATTCATTTATAGGCTCTTATTTTCATAAAGGCATGTCACTAGTTTCTTTCAATTCTTTCCTGAAGTATTTTTTTGTGGTTTACTTTTATTGTATTGCCGGATGCATTACCTTTGATCATCCTTTCCTAAAATGATTTTTAAAAGACCTGCAGAAATTTTTATTGCATAGGACACTACTGAGGACACAGAAATTGGGAACTGCAAGTATGTGGCACTGGAACAAGTCTTACAAATATTTCATTTTAAGAATTTGCTAAATACAATTTTTTGTAGTTTGTCTCTTTTAAAAAATTGAAGTTACAGCTAAGTTAACTACATACAATGAAGCATTTTAGGAATGTTAGAATTTCGAGAATATGATGAATGATACAAAGGAAAAAAGCCATAATTCTTGTCGGCTACATATTGTATTGCCTTCAAAAGCAATTGTACATGTTGTATTCAGTTCATAGTTAAATATTTCTACTAATCTGTTTTAGGAGAGCAAATGTCTTTCAAGGTTTCAAGTTCCTCTATAAGCTTCTTGTTCTGAACTTCCAGCACTGCAACTCGACTCTCCAGACATTTTACATATTCTTTCTTTCGACGTCGACATTCTTTAGCAGCTTCCCTGAAAAAAAGTAGAAGCAAAAGGGCAAACAAAACAATTTTTGCATGCATGCTATTGACAAACAGACTGAAATAAGCTTGGTGTATGTGACATGGTTGCACTCCAAATCTTGGAACAACATTTCTAATTAAATTCAAACACTAAGCCAAACCGGATTCTTAAGGGTCACAAATGTCCCTTCCATATGTCCACATGGCAATTAGTAGAATTGCTCCATCTCCTGCCTTGATTAGAGTTCACAGTAAACAAGATCCAAGTCAAAGACCGTTACTCTGCTTTATGGCAATAAAGATCTTTAAGGGCCTTGAGTTCCTCAATGAGAGTCTTGTTTTGGTTTTCAAGCACAGCCACACGGTTTTCAAGACATTTGACATATTCTTTCTTCTTCCTGCGACACTCCCGGGCAGCTTCCCTGGAACCAACACAAGGCAAATGACTCAGGAACAACCTCCCCGCACACTCCAGAGGGGCTCAGTGAACTTTGACCCCCCAAACTCAACAGCCAGTCAGTCCTAGGTAAGGTCTGTACAAAGCCACACAACAAATATACCGAAGCACATGCCATTTTTAAAGGTGACTCTAAGACAGTGATGGCGAACCTATGACACGTGTGTCAGAGGTGACACGTGAACTCATTGTTTTGGTTGATTTTTCTTTGTTAAATGGCATTTAAATATATAAAATAAATATCAAAAAATATAAGTCTTTGTTTTACTATGGTTGCAAATATCAAAAAATTTCTATATGTGACATGGCACCAGAGTTAAGTTAGGTTTTTTCAAAATGCTGACACGCCGAGCTCAAAAGGTTCGCCATCACTGCTCTAAGACAACAGGAACAACTTGAGAGCAGTCCATTTGACCAGCATTTATCGTAAATGGTGTTTTCTTAGGGCATACATTCCATGAGAACTGTAACCAGAATTGTTTTCAGTAACCTAAAACAGTAGAACCACATCCCCAAGTGGAATTTCTACAAAAACATTTACAGATCCTTAAAATTATCTTAGTCATTTTTATCCACCAAAAGTCACATATTCCATCAGTTAACTTTATTTGATCAAAAATAATTACAAAAATCAATCCTCAGAAACCTTAAATGTCAATATGGGAGATTTTAATTCTTCAAGACTAAATCTCAGTGAAACAAGTAAATCAATCACAACTGCAAGAAACAGTTTATTGATTGGGAAACAACATGAATAAAAATAACAATAAATGAATTATAAATCATGCACATTTTCATAAACAAAAATGAAATAAACTCTGCTTCTGGAAATTAAAAAAGGAAAGAAGGCATGGTACATAATAAATACTCAATAATTCAGACAATTTAAATCCAGGAATGTGAGACACCACAATTAAAACCATGAAAAAGAAGCTACTGAATAACTCAAAAGTGCACTTCAAGACTGTTCTCTCACCAAATGCCTTTACTAACCAATATACTGAATTTTAAAGTACTGCAGGCATGCCCAAAGGAAAGAATAGACCAGCAGCCAAAGCAACAAACACAATAAATAGATGATTTACAGTCATTTTCATGCATGACCCTACCCCCAAAAAACAAAACTATGAAAACAGCTAACATTTTCTTTCTCCTTTTCTTCAGGGCAAGGAGGGGATGGCAACTACATCATTTAATTCCTTTATAGGATGTATCCTGATAACAATTTTTTTTTGGAGTTTACAATTCAGAATAAATGACTTTGGGGTAACCTTCACATTAAAAAAAAATCCTACATTGCAAGACAATTCAACATTTTATCAAAAGTTGTGTTGAATGTCTAAATACCAATTACTGTAAAGCCAATTACCATCGCTGCATTTCTGAACTAGGATTGATGCACACAACATATTTGGCCAATTCTGCTCTATTTTTAGGATAGTTGACTCTAACTAATAATTGTCTATCTGTGTTTTCTCTGTGGGAAGCTGAAGTCAGCAGAAAAGAAGAGAACTTGAAATCCCAATGAACTGCAGAAAAAAAATCACCCCTATTTCCTAGCCAAGAACAATGCACTCACCCTGTGAACCCACAAAGTTCTCAGACTTCTCAACTGGTTAATAAAACAGTAATAATATACAAGTGAACTGAACCTGATAAATATAGATTAACTTAATCTAAATGATATACAGGAAAAAGTTAAGAATAAATTCAAGCACACATAAATCTGCCAGTTTGGGAACACAATTCAACTCTTCCAGGAGGAGCTAAAATATATTTAATGAAACCAAGGTTTTCATGAATAAATCATTATATTAAATTCCAAATCTGGAAGGAAGATAGTCATTTTTAAAAGAATTCACCATTAAATGAAAATTTAAATATGTAACAGATGCTTGCTTTGGCAGCACATACTAAAATTGGAATGATACAGAGAGGATTAGCATGGCCCCTGCGCAAGGATGACGCGCAAAGTCATGAAGTGTTCCATATTTTAAATAAATAAATAATAAATAAATATGTAACAGCAATGTTGTGGGCTGGTCAATTTTTAAATTTGTGTTTACCAAGGTGTACTATTTACTGTGAATACCCATACTTGGTATTTCACGTGCGTGCATGTGTATGCTACCAGAGTCAAATGTTCCAAGCAGAAAGCTTAAATAATCACACTAGTAGATGGCACATTCCTAAGTATTTCTCAGCTATTCAAAACACCTGTTTCTTCTATTAATAGTTAGCTCAGTTTTGAGGCCTTGCATTTGTCTGGATATATCTTCAGCATGGAGAGAAAATACATGGTAAACAAGAAAAGCTGACAAGGCTGTAAAAATATAAAAACTGTCTCCAGATTGGTAGAAATATAATTAAATATCCATTATAAATGCTAGCCAAAGAGAAAAATGTATAAAGCTCTTTCATGTTAATGAGTAAAACCTATATTCTTTCCATGAAGTTAAATCTGAAGCTCACACTGAGGTCTTTTTGGGGTGACTCTGGTGTTGATGCAGTGGACAAGCTCTGGAATGACGCTTAATTGCATATCCAGGTTCTGTCCACTTTGCACTGTGTAACCAACTTATTATATAAACTCTCTGAACCTTAGTTCCTCAACTGTAAAGTAAGGATAATAACCAGCCCTATCCACATGTGAAAGTTAGGTGACAATTATAGAAACAGTAGTTATAAAGCACTTAAAACTTATATATGGTATTTACTCAACAGATACTGAACAACCTAATAGCCATTTATTATCTGCTTTTCTTTTGTCTTGCTCTGAAATTCAGATTTGGAAAGCTAAAATAGACCCTTCTCAGAATCCCTTGCAGCTAGAGATTCTATTAGCTATTTCTGGTCAATGAAATGTGGGTGAAAGTTGTTGGCAGGGTCTTCCAGGAAAAGTGTTTAGAAGGGTCAGACTTAACCAGCCCCCATTTCCAGCTCAAGTTCATCTCTCTTCTTCCTGACTGAAGTAATGCCTGGAGGTGTGGCAGCCATGTTGTAATCACAGGAACAAATGTCACACTCAAGATGACAGAGCAGGGAAGAGGAGCTGGATCCTTGATGACACTGTGGAGCCTTTGTTCTGGCTGCATGCACCTCTGGACTGGCAATCAAAATAACACCTCCATTCCCTTTAGTTATTTAGAGTCCAAACACAAATGTTATCCAAAAGTTATTAACTAATTATTTTTTTAAAATTCAAAAAAATGCAACCCCCTCCCCTTTCAGGGAGAACTGATATGCGTGTGTATGTAGCTGTGGGGCACCTTTTATAGGAACCTACTGCCTAACATTTTATCTATTTCATTTTGGTAGTTCTGACAAAATTTTTTAATCTAAAAATAAAGGTAGCCCTAGCATGTTTGGCTCAGTGGATAGAGCATCAGCCTGTGGACTAAAGGGTCTCAGGTTCAGTTCCAGTCAATGGCACATGCCCAGGTTGAGGGCTCCATCCCCAGTGGGGAGCATGCAGAAGGCAACAGATCAATGATTCTCTCTCATCATTGATGTTTCTATCTCTCTCTCTCCTTCTCCCTTCCTCTCTGAAATCAAGAAAAAATGCATTTAAAAGTAAAGGTATAAAATGACAAAAGGGAGATAAGAAGGCTACTTTTTTAGTTCTTTTTATTTTCTTTGGGAAAATAAGACATGGATGAACAATTTTGTATTATCATCACACTTTACATTCTAAACTGAACCTCACAATGTACATTCTATGACCAGAGTGGCAACTATATTCATAGCCTAAGATCTCTGAAAGTGCAGTTTTAAAGTATCCATGTTCTTCCATCTAATCAAAGTTAGGGATCTTCAATAACAAGATCTCCACAAAACAACTATGATACTATGTGAGCCCCACTCATTCAAGGCCCTTCAGAATTTCTGAGCAAAATACTGATGATGCAAAATGTGAATCCAGCATGACTTATAAACCTGGAACAACCAGTGATAAATATGCATGTATCTAGCGGGGTTGGTGTGGCTCAGAGGTTGAGCATCGACCTATGAACCAGGAATTCATAATTAGATTCGTGGTCAAGGCACATGCCCAGGTGGCGGGCTCGGTCCCCAGTAGGGAATGTGCAGGAGGCAGCCGATCAATGATTTTTTTTCCTCATTATTGATGTTTCTACCTCCCTCTCCCTCCCTCTCTGAAATCAATAAAAAAAATATTTTTTTAAAAAAGATGTGGGTACCTAATGAGCCTATTTCTGGTAATCTGCTGAGTTTCTCAGGGTAGAAAACTCCATCTCATGATTTGTGATAACTAATAAACTTAGGAACTGTAGCAAACATAAGAAATCCTATGATATATCCAATTGTGCCATTTAAAAGGCTATATTAGTAACCTGAATAAAGCTTCTATTGCTTCAGATTCTGTTACAAAGGATAGTGATGAACTCAGCAGTTGTTTCTGTTTTTGAGAGGCTCAGAAACCACAATTTCTACATTAACTAGGTTGCTAACATCTAGTAAATTAACTACTCCCATGTGGTCCTGATCATAGGAAAACACATAATTCCATCTGAAATGTTTTGTTTTCTTACAATGAGGACATTATTTAAAACCTAGAAATAAGGTAACAAGAGTACTGGGAAAACAGACTATTATTATTCTGTTCATTTTGAAAATCAGATTAATTTGCACCATTATCCATAATAAAAATTAAACCAAGAAATGATATGCAAACTAGATTTTAAAAAATAATTTTGGGAAACAGCATTTGTATGATATACTGCTTTAAAAAAAAAAAATGAGTTACAGTCCTGGCCAGTGGCTCAATGGCTAGAGCATCAGTCCCTGCAATGAAGGGTCTCAGGTTCCATTCAGGTCAGGGGCACATGCCTGGGTTACAGATTCGATCCCAGGCCCGGCCCTGGCACATGCAGAAGGCAACCAATTGATATGTCTCTCTCACATCAGTGTTTTTCTTTCTCTCTCTCTCTCTCCCTTCCTACCCACCATCCCTTCCACTCTCTTAAAAATCTAAGTCAATGAAAGAACTATCCTTGGGTGAGGATTAACAAAATAAAATAATAAAGTTACAGTGATAGGGTGCAAAAACAAGTGAGAAAATGAGAGAGAGCAGGCTGGAAATGTATATATTACTATGCACGAAATTCGTTCAAGAGTAGGCCTTTGCAACCCCGGCTTCATCTGGAAGGTCGTCTGGTCGGTCGTCTGCTGCTCAGCAGTTTAGTTGATTTACATATTCTGCTTTTATTATTACAGATAATATCAGTAGGTATCTCTAAGTGGTGGGGCTATGAGTAATTTTAATTCTTTCTGTTGTTTTGTATTTTCATTTGACTACAATTTATCAGAATAAAGATGTATTTCAAATACAATCAAGAAAAAACAAAGTTAAGAAGTAGATCAAATGAAATATGTAAAAAATTTAAGAGCTCTAGCCAGTTTGGCTTGGTGGATAGAGCACTGGCCCACAGACTGAAGGGTCCTGGGTATGATTCCAGTCAAGGGCATGTACCTCAGTTGCAGGCTCAAACTTTGGCCCTGGTCAGGTCATATACGGAGGTAACCAATTGATGGGTCTCTCTCACATCAATGTTTCTCTCCCTCTGTCTCTCCCCCTCCCTCCCACCCTCTCTAAAAATCAATGGAAAAAATATCCTTGGGTGAGGATTAACAAAAAATAAAAAATAAATAAATTTAAATAAACAAAAACTTAAGAAAATTCTTAACGCATACAAATTTATTTTACTAATAAAGAAGTTAGAAAATTACACTTATCACCTAACTTCACAAAGTAAATACTAAGTACAAAATAAAATTTTATTTGTAATAAAGCCCTTCCATCATCATTAAAAAAAATTAATGTATCTTTCAGACATTACCTTTGTAACATAGGATTCAATCTCCTCCTGATGAAATAGTTTCATGATTAGGAACTCTGACTAGCAGACAATCTATCATGCAGAGCACAAATCCACATAAAATGCCACTTAACATCGAACTTGGGAGAAATAGCTTAGGAACAGTAATTTTTTAAAAATCCCAAAGTAACAAATTGTATGTCCTATAAGTGGTTGCTGATTTCTAGTGAACCATCTTACCTGTTTTTCATTAGCCTCAGCTCTCGTTTGCGTGTGGCTTCTTCTGCAAGTTGCTGGGGGCTGTGCAAACTTCCTGGTGAGGCAGCCATCACTACTCCCTGTGGCAAAGCAGTAGTAGGTGCTCGGATCTGGTAAGTTGGCATGTCACCAGTGGCAGCTGCAATGAAATATTACATGCTTATATAAACAATTTAAAACTTGATATTTTTAAATAAAATTGCCCTGGAAATAATATACTTATTACATATTCTAAGAGGTGATCTTGCTAATGTTTAAGATGACTATTCTGAGCATTATAGAAATCGTAGGTATCAAAGATCTTCAGTACTTGGAACAATGATATTCAGCATGCTCTATACATTTAAGGTAGAAAAATGCCCTAATGCATTTTAGATAAGTTTTTATCAAAGGCTAAAAGTAGAGAGGCTTTTCAACTGAGAGTTGGCTAAGTCTAAAATCAGTGGTGTGCTGATAAATGTTTAACAACCAGATTTGTGGAGGGAAAAGCCCTGATACGTCTGTAGCATGTCAATTCCCATGATGTAAATGCTTGCACCATGGCCAATTTCAAGCTACCAGTGTGACTTCAATGAATGTAGAGTCAGGAAGATATACACAGTAAGTAGCACACCATACAGATAAAATAGATGTAAATAACTGCAAGAGCATAGATTAAAAAATTATAAATGATAAATTTTGAGTATTTATTAATGTTTTTAAGTAACTTGTTAAACGTATATTTACATTTTTAATAGCTATTTTAACAATCAGCTCACAAAAATCCTGAAAATTTAACAATCAGCTCTAGCAAATCAGTGGGAGCTGGCTCTAGCACATCACTGTGAAAATTTTAATTAAGCAGAACATTTCTATCCAGTTAATTTTCCTATAACCTATACCCTCACCTAATCTCTTTAAGTGGAAGTCCTAACACCAGAATATGACTGAAGTACTGGAAGGAAAATACTAACTCACTGTATTTTCATTTAAAAGCAAATAATAAACAAAACAGCCAAACTTTTTAAAACTGGTTTCTCTGGGGAATGATAATTTTTGTCTGTCTTAGGTTTATTGAGATAATAATGTAGTCATTTAAACGTATGTTTTCTAATGATAGTATAATCAGTTAAATGACAGTATTTATTTAGTATTGAGATTGCATACTAAAGTCCTCAAAGTGTCTTGATTTATAATCAAAATGTGTGTATCTACTGCAGTAAAAAACTTCCTTAAAACAGAAAGATGGGTTGAAGTTATAAAACATTCCTACCATCACTGTTTCAACTTTGAGAACATGCAATCCAGAGTTCATGTGACATTCTGATGAGATATGACAAAATATATGCTCCCTCAGAAATCAATGCAAGAAAATGGGTTTAAAGGTTATTAAATCCTATAAAATTTGGTCTGAACCAAATGCTAATCAAAATATGAAACACATTGCTTCTATATCTCATTAAAATATGTTATATCCATTGACTAAGAACTGAAATTTTACTCAAAAGGGAAACAAATGCTTTTTCCAGGTAAATAGAATAATATCACTGAAACTAGCCAATTAGATTAAAAGGTTAATCAAAATTCATCTATGTGTTTCTTTTGGGGGTAAATGTCAGGTTTTTACCCCCACCTACTCCCCCAGGCTTAAGAATTAGAGGAAAGAATAAAACAATAAAAATATGGCTTTGGGTAAAGATCAGAGGTCTTCATAGGGAAATAAAAATACCATTTATAATGTTGTACTGCTTCTTCCTTCTATATGTAATATAAGAAATAATAATAAGTAGAAATTATGATAAATATAATAATGATCACCAACTTGGGAAAAATCCTAAATTTGTTTTTGTGACAATTTAAAATAGTATATACACAGAAGTTTCATTATATGTCAGAAATTTTATAACTTTGAAATATTTGGAGCGAATTTTCAAGTCAATTATAAACTATTAATTTACTAAAGATTTAAAATATATATTTAAATCAGATTGTAGAGAAGATTGAAGCACAGAATAACAGTTATCTTCTCTGTTCTCTTTACCCACATCAGGAAAAAAGGTTATGGGATAATAAAGGCTGAAACAATGGAACAGCTGGAGCCTACAAAGGCTTTCTAAAATTGGAACAATAGCAGTGACGAAGGAGAAGTTTACATGTCATCATGTTGACATTTTAAGCAGCATGGATGCAGACCTTGGTCTTGTTCTTGCCAAATTGCTCACAAATAAATGCAATAAAATTAATACAAATGTACAGAAGGGTTCATTATTCCCTCTCTAGTTTTGTATACACCTGCTTTTTTCTGTACTTAAAGTTAAAGCAGAATGTTTATATAATATACAAAAGTTAGTTTCAAAGTATCCTTTTTTTTTTTAATGAAAAGGGAAGGCAGGAATACTTCACAGATAAAAAATAAAATTCATTCATTGATCTTAGAACCAGAAATGGTTCTAAATTTTTGCCTATTTCCAAAAGCTGAAGCCACCTTCAAAAGACCAAATTTGGTACCATGAAGGATAAAGGTGACTCAACAGAAGCATTCCTAAAACATTCTGAGCAACAGCTTAGAAAAAATACCCTAACATGCTAAGCTGGAAAGTGTTACTGGAAAGGGGACCTGGCCCTGAACAGGTCTGCTTAGGGCCAGCAGGTAGTGTGCGGGTTCTTGACTGCATGCAGGAAAGATGTAACAATATGAGTCCAAGTGATTGAGAGGATGTTTGTTAAAACTGGGGACAGTGAAACAAGGAAGAACCTGGGATAGAGGAGGCAACAGGAAAGAGCTAGGCAGAGTTGCTTTAGCTCACTGGGAAGTCAGAAAAAAAAAGGGGGGCCTTATGGACAGGTTCAGGGGGTTAGCCCAGCTGAGCTGCCACTGTCCATTGCTCCCCTAGTTGCAAGTTTTGTGGGGACCCTTGGAATTTAGGTGATACATGCCCGTGGGAGAAGAGGAGGAAGGGAAAGGCATGTATATATGTGCTGGGTTCTTTGTAGGGTTTTATCTTTTCCTTGCAGAAGGGAATCTTAGTGGAGACCTCAGGGGAGGGTTTCAGAAGAATATTCATCAGCTTTCTAGGTGTGCTCATTCAGAATTGTGATGTCCACTGATTGGTCAGTGCCAGGGCAGGGGTCATTAGCAATTACAGCTGGTCCTGGTGTCCCCCACCTGGTTTTGCTGCTTTGCTGGGATAAAACTGAGGCCTAGATATTATCTCTAGGGGGTGACCTTCTGTATCTGCTATAAATTGCTCTGCCAGTTTGTGCAGCTGTCAGTTTCCCCCTTTCACCTGCCAAGGAATTTTCCTAGCTTCTTACTATCCTGCCTCAAAAGGATGATATATTTAAACGTATTCTCAAATGTTAGCTAACAAATTGGTTTTATCACAATTTTTCAGACATTTCTTTGTCAACAAAAATCTGATTGTATCTTATTGGTTCAAGCAGAAATATGAATTAGTATAAATTAGGAATTAGAATAAATTTCTGGTCATGGTACAATTCTAATAGTTACTGAATAAATATCAATGGATAAATTCCATATATTCAAATATGATCTATTAGTAATACATAAAAAGATATGGGCAAAGAGAAGCTCTTGTTTTAAGGAAATCCAAATGTCAAAAAGTTTTATTATTGAAACAAGTTATGGAAAAAACTTTATATAAAAGTTAGCTTCTATTTCCAATATTACAAACTTAGTGATAATTTAAAACAGATGAGATACCTAGCATAATAGTTTAAAGAACGACATTCTTTGATGAAAAGCCAATTCCTGTTCCATCTAACTACTAAAAGGGCCCAAATTATTTTTTATTCTAAAATTTCACTGTATAAATTATTTCTGAAAATATGTGGGTCATCAATGAAGAGTGTAAACTCATGATTGAAGAAAGATAATAAAAAAGATAAACTAATTTAATTTTATTCTAAGGCAGCAAAAAACTTGCGACAAATCAAGGTACCTTTTTTACCTTTGGCATCCCTAGAATCCAGCACAGTACTTGGCATATAATGGGTGATTGGTGAGTTTACTTGTGCACTATGAAGTAAATTTTGAACTTTCCAGGTTTTTACACAAGCCTGCTGTCACTTGGAATGTTTCAAATAAGCAGCCTTATTATTATAAGACTATTATTATAGTTAACACTTTAACACTAATACATGGAAAGCCCTAAAAGACATTCAAAGTGGTCTTTCTTTTTTTTAAATTTTTTTATTTTATTGATTTTTTACAGAGAGGAAGGGAGAGGGATAGAGTTAGAAACATCGATCAGCTGCCTCCTGCATACCCACCACTGGGGATGTGCCTGCAACCAAGGTACATGCCCTTGACTGGAATCAAACCCGGGACCCTTGAGTCCGCAGGCCGATGATCTATCCACTGAGCCAAACTAGTCAGGGCCAAACTGGCCTTTTTTGATAAAATGTATTATTTCCTAAGTCTTCCCCTAGATACTGATAATCTAACCTGGCATTTTAGAAGCAGAGGAGTTCTACTTGTAGTGTTTCCAACCATCTAACTCCTGACATGAAAACAATGTTTTATGTTTGGTATCAAATATTTCATGGGAAAAGAAAATTCCTAGAACTCTCAATTCTGGTCATTAACTTCATACCTCTCTGTGCAAGCTTTAAACACAATACAGAAGAAAAAGTAAAGGATTTGGAATCTGGGTTCTAGTGCAGCTCTGCCACTTACCAGCCATGTGACTTGGGGCAAGTTCAGTTTCCTCATCTGTAAAATGGGGATACATTATCTCATTTAATACTCACAATAAACCCTGTAATGTATGACAAAGTGTCTAGCACAGTGCCTGGCACATGGTAGGCATTCAGCAAATGTTAGTTCCCTTCCTCTTCCCTTCCTTAAGTTCTGAAAGACAATGTTCCAAATTATGCTTATACTGCATATTAATTAAAAGGCAAATAACATCCATAAATATATTTTCCCCTCGAGTTTCGCTTCTAACAAATCTAGGTAATAGAATGATTGACATGTGTGGCTCTTATTCCTTATTTTGTTTAAAAATATGCCTATTAAAAACTTTTATAATTTTTATTATATCCCTTTAAAGAATAAATTATTAAAAAATAATATCACAAAAATACCCCTTTAAATATAATAATTTAAAATAGACAATGAGGAATCACAAAAAAATAAAATGATATAATCTCATCAGACTGGTAAAGCCCACAAGTCAAAGAGGTGTTTGTTTCTTCCTAACAAAGAAAGAAATAAGAAACCCAGCCAAATGCCCATCTTGATAGCTTCCAAAGTGAAACAGTTTATCAACACCCCAATGGTGATTTTATTTGCTTATTATTTATCAATTGAGATCTCTATAGTACTGAGCATATTAACTGATCAAAACAATTTTTATATATGGAGCTACTACCTTCGTAAGTCATTTCGCTATGTGTCACTAATCCCAAGTACACCGAAGTAGTAAGCAACAGAGGTAAAAGTCATACTCAGAAGCAGGGAGCTCCTCACTTCTCTGTCTTTGTTCTCTCCCTCCCTACTGCCACACCAGGTCTCCTAATGCCCAGATCAGGCTTGTCATTGCCTGGCATCTAACAATGTCAAAAAATTTCCCTCCTCCATTGCTCCACTTTTTCCAGGAAAATTAAATCCTACATAAACATAAATATTTAAGCACTGAAGTTTTCAAATTTGTTACAACACACAAACCACATAAAACTAAGTCGTTAATTTTTACTTAAATTACACAAGTTGTGCATTAAGTGAAAATCTTAACAGTGAAAAAAAAGTTTGTAAAAAATTATAAATATTGACATTGAAAGTTCTATATAATAAACATATTGTCCTAGGAGAGTAATAATACTCTAGAAAAAATCCATTTTGACTACTTAAAATGATGCTAACTTCCTTTTTTATGTTTTATAAACAGTGTTAGTTTATCAATGTAAGGTGAATTTTAAGGAGCAACATAAAATGGTGTGAACAGAACCAGACAGTCTGAAGAGCCAAACTAGATTACCACTTATTAAGCTATGTAAGCTTTGAAGAGTCATTTATCCACTCTGATCTGTGTTATTATATGCAAAATGAATGCAATATCCGTACATGAGGGAGAATGCATGGAAAGTGATTTTTCCTTATAGGTTATTTAAATTCTAGAGGTCTGGTGCATGAGATTCGTGCACTGGCGGGCGGGGGGGAGGGGGGGGAGGGTCCCTCAGCCCAGCCTGAACCCTCTTGCAGTCCGGGACCCCTCGGACTAAGGGGTCCCAGACTGTGAGGATCAGGCCTAAGCCAATAGCCAGACATCCCTCTTGCAGTCCGGGGCTCTTGCAGTCCGGGACCCCTCCCTCCTTACTGCCCACCTACAGTGGAGACAGGAGAAGCTCCTGCTCGCTGCTCCTTAACGCTGCCTCAGAGGTGGGAGAGGCTCCTGCCACTGCTGCTAGGTTTGCCAGCCATGAACCCGGCTTCTGGCTCCATGGGAGCGCACTGACCATCAGGGGGAAGCTCCTGCATTGAGTGTCTGCCCCCTGGTGGTCAGTGTGTGTCATAGTGACCAGTCGTTCTGCTGTTTGCTGCTTTTATTATATAGGATGGTTTCCTCAGTGAGGCCTACTCTAACCCTTCAACCTATATTACCTGTGGGTCTCTCATGATCTGATAGTTTCTTTGATAGCTCTTACCACATTTATATTTATTTTATTTGTAACATTAAGTGATTTTTTTATTTTAAAGTTTACATAAATGCAAAGTATTATTTTATTAGACAGTATGTTTATATAGGCAAATAAAACTGGGAAAAGTGAAACAACTGTCCCAAATTATCTTTCATTAAACATTTTTCACAAATAGTGGGAAAACAGCATAATGGCAATTTCATACAGATTTGAAGTATTTATTGAAACTTACGGTGACTTATATTTTCACTTCCAACATGATTATAATTTGCCTTGCTACCAACTTCAAGAAGCTAGTACACCTGATAAAAATCATTCTTTTACATGAAAATATCCAAACAAAAACCTTTTCCTCTCACAAAGGTGAAATGTATCCTTGTATCCCTATTCTCGTGCATCAAATATTAACTAAGATATTATTTTTCAAATTTGAATTATTTGGAATGTTTGTTTTTTAATAATTAGATGTGTAGGCTGAATACTACTTCTGAGTTTTTTAGACTCAGACACTAAAAGATAAAGAGTTGGGCTCTTAACAATCAGCTTATAAATAAAGCCAAAACTATTTCTAATAAAAATGTAAATTATATCCAACAGAATTATATAATTCTACAAACTATAAATATTCCCTTTTCACATTCAATTCAATGAGCCTATAAGTAAGTGCTCCTAAAAAACTTTCCCAGGCCAGTCATTATTGTCAGCAGCCTGATTTTGGTCTAGATCGGTTTTTAAAACTGTAAGATGTAGACCATTGGTGAGTTATAAAATCAATTTCATGGGTCAAGAATAGCATTTTTTTAAAAACAAGTAGAAAAGTATGAATACATAACATATACTATAGATAAGCATTACTTTTGAAGTGGATTTTATATAAAAGTAGGGTACACACACACACACACAAGTCTACCACATCATGATATAAATGTGGGTCACGATCAAAAAGTTTGCAAGCCAATAATCTATCAATCCACCTCAAAATACAAACAAACAAAACAAGAGGCAATGTCCTTTCCATTGTCAACCAGCATTTCAAATAGAATTGATTCTGTCAGAACTGACTAGATTTCCAAAAACAATGATTTCCAAAGGCACAATGAGGTCTAGTAAAAAAGTTTGACATTTTAAAGTTTCAACATTTAGAAAATTTTTAATTGAAAAGGGTAAATCATGGTGATGTTCATTTATTTACAAGCAATAGTTTAAAATTATGCAAATTTTTACCTTAAATATTCATCTTTAAGTATATTCTGAGTATTTTAAAAGCATTTTACTTTATTTTTTGTTATGATTCTCTATCATGCTTAGAGAAGTCAAATGGTAAATTGAAAGGCTCAGTTAAGAAAGATGTAAACAAACTAATCACTTTTAGAAAATGAATATATGCACAAAATGCATTTGGTTCTAAAATCATATGACATGCAGTATTTGAGATTAATTCCACCTATATCTTATAATAAATTTGATAACTTCTGCAATCTATAACATCTTTAAAACTTTACAAAACTTCTTTGAGAAAACCAATAGCTCAAGATAATCTTAAAAACAATTTAATACAGATGTTACTTGCTCAAGGAACGAAATGTTTCTATCTTGGAAGAGGAGCTGAGACCCACTAAGACATAAATTGTGAGCAACCTGTTTACAACTATCCATTCTTCCTGAATTCAAATGCAACTCAGTACTGGGTAAGAAATAAAGCACCACTCAATAAACAAAGTTGGAACAACATAAGGGGCATTAGCGACTAAATCAGAAGCATTAACTATAACTAAGAAAACCAAACCACAGAAAGAATTACAGATAAGTTTAAATAATGCGGTCTGAGGGCGATTTCAGACCTGCGCTTCCCTAGCTGTGCACTAGAGGGCGCCGTGAGCTGCAAATCCCACAGAGCAATGGAGTGAGGGAGCCTGGGCCCAGAGCCCACCTCTTGCAGCACCTGTGGGCCTCGGGAGTGGTGCAGGGCTCTGGGGATCTGCCCACAAACGGGCGGTGCCGGCTTTCTAAAGTAAATACTTACCTGCAGAGAAACACTAAAGTGAGGCTCACAAATCAAGCTACTCAGTCCAAGAGCGATCTCTGAGAGAGGCAAGCCAGGAGCTAGTTAACAACCTCAAGCTGTCAACAGCGCTCTGCTCAGCTCGAAGGAGCCGAAAGGAACTGACTCAATCACAACCTGACTGGGGGCTGACGTAAATGCGCAGTCCGTTTGGAGTTTAACTTTTCCACTTTCCTGAGGAACCACGATTCCAGGAAATGCAATGACGTCAGCCCTTTGAACTCCATTAGAGAGGAACAGACCATTTTAGACACTCGAGCATCGAAACAAGTAGGCACACAAACAGTGGTCTGCTTTGGAGCTACATTTGTACACAACCACGGAATCGAAAGCTTGATTTTTTTACAAGTTGAACAGTATTTATGTTTAACTTGTAGCTGCACTGGATATGCAACAGGCTGCAGACGAAGTAACAGCTTATTTTAGTGAAGCAGAAAGAGAGAGAACTGCCTTGGGTCAAATAATATAATACTGAGCACAGAACCAATTACACTAAGATGCCTGTGTACTGAATAGATATAAAACTCCTCAGAAAAGCAATACTTTTGAAATACTCAGAGGTCCGTAAATAATTTTTCAAAACTTCCAAAATAATTTTGCAGAATTTAAATCTTTCTCTGAAGTTCTTACCGGTTTCATCTCCAGTTACAGCCATGATGGGTTTCTGCATACAGAACTGCCCTGTTCCTCCTTTCACAGGTCAACACAAAGTGTTCCAACTAGCAAGCATGTGCAGTTATAAGTGGCAGTATTGACATCACAATGACATCACTAGCCTATCACTGCCATCAATCTGCTTTGTCACAGACAGGCTCACTGAAACCAAAGCCCTTATAAAAAGTCTGTAATAAACCATCAAATGCTATTGTTTCTAATTTTTCATAAAAATCTGTTGAGAAGGGCTATGGCAAAAAAAAAAAAAGTCTCATTAGCATTAAAAGTTACCTGTTTGTTTCTTATGGGGCTACTTCTTTATTATTATTCTGTCCAAGGTTTCTAGGTAAACAAAG